AAGCAACGTGTTGTCCTTAAAAAGAAACCACACCTTTAGAACAACGTACGGGACATCCTTTTCCAGTTCTTCTAGAAGAAGCAAGAATTCAGTTTCTCTTTGGAGAGTTACTGGGACTGTTTTCTGGAATGATTAAAGAACAGATAAAGAAAATGTAAGAAAAAAATAGGATATACAAATAAGAATCGTTTTGTGAGCTCCTGTTGGTATATTGTTTTAGATGCTTAAAAACTTATAGCAATACCCATCTACTGTGGTATTTCCCCAGAGGGATTGCATTTTTATTTGCAATTGCTCCCTCAGCTATTTACTGGTGCATATGAACCCACATTGGCTCAAATTCAAAGGATCCACTGATTAAAACTACATATAGTTGGGGAAATTATTTTTGCCACTCCCAGATTATGTAATTAACTTAGTACAACTGCTAACTTTCCCACTAAGCCAAGAGGTGAATCTGTAATGGCAGCTTTGCACGTTTGATTCTATTTAAATTCAGTCGGGAGTTGCATGTTAGATTGATTTTCAATGCACAGGAGCAAGACCATTTAAAAATATGAGTACCTTAGAAAGGATTCAAAAGCATATCCTCCCATGAGAATCATTCCATTATACAGAATTGGGGTATCATAATGACATTATAGGAGGTTTTTGCTTTTGTGCCTTTGTATCAATGTTGACTCCTGGTGACTGCCTAGACAAGTCCCTGCAGTTTTCTTGGCAAGATTTCGGAAGTGGTTTACCATTGCCTGATTCCTAGGGCTGAGAGTGTGTGACTGGCCCAAAGTCATCCAGCTGGGTTTGTGCCTAGGTGGGACTAGAACTCCCGGTCTCCCAGTTTCTAGCCTGGTACCTTAATCACTACAGCAAACTGCAGCTGAAATTTACAGCCCAGTTTTTTTTTTTTTTTAGTTTTATAACTATAGTACTTGAACTAAATTACTATTTCTGTGTTTAAAAAAGAAAATCATTTTTTTCTATTGAAGCAATTTAAGTAAGAATACAATATTACTATTTAACCACAATCTATTTTACTTTTGCATTGTTCAGAAATCATATGCCAAGCTTCTTCTTAGGCAGCACTGGTTCAGTTAACTTATTTGGCTTAAGGCGATGGAAAAAAGGTCTTAAAACTTCTTGTAATTACTCCAGTGCTGATTCCTGTATTTCATTACTGCAGCAAAATTTCTCTCTATACTAGACAAAGTGTTTTCCTACATTGAACTAAAACGTTTTTCTTTACCTGTTCATGTGATAGCCATTCCTGCAATACAAGGAGCCAAAACCAAGCAAGTTTCTGAGGACTGTGCTTTGATTCACTCCTACAAATATAACATAACCAAAAATACATTCACATCCTATATGTTCACTTTTTAAAAGAAGTTACTCTTAAATAATCATGTTGCAAACTACAACCATAGTAGGAATTATATAATATCCCAGAAAACTGTAATCCTCAAAAATTTACCTCAAATTAAATATGCACATACTGTAATACCTCTGCTGTAACTTTCTACCACTCCAATCACCTGGATTTCTTCCACCTGCCATAACTACACTTTAGTTAATCTGTGGCAAATGACACAATTTAATTTAGAGAATAAAAGAATGGAAAATATTCTTTTTTTCCAGAGCAACCACCAGGAAAATTATTTCCCTATATGTTCCAAGAGATCACCAATTTCATATACTCTAAAAAAATGCAGTAAATAATTTTTAAAAGCTAGCATGAAGTAGTATTTAAGTCTTGTAAATCTCAGTATGCTGGCACCATCAGCAGATTTAAAACTCTGGGGTTTCTTTAATTACTGAAAAAATATTTCACATCAATTTTAAACATCAAAAAGACTGTACATTCTGTCTTCTTTTGCTTTATATGTTTAAAATATTTTGTAAGAATTTAATGCAAAGATATAATTCTATTTTACTTTACCATAATTCTACATAAGAATGCATTTTTTGCATTTTGATTGTCTTGTCTATTGCATTTTTACTGTCTTGTCTGGGAAAAGGTTCTTGATATTTCAGAAGCTCACACGATTTTGAATTGTCCTACTGAAAATAATGTCTTAATATAGAATTTAGATTTTCCTTCACAGCTAACACAGCTACTTCTGCTTTTTAAGACTGAAGATTCAATCCTAAACGTGTTTATTTAGAGATCTCATTACCAACTAAGTACATTTAGAATATAATCCTAGCCATAATTAACATGAAGCCAGCCCTATTAAAAGTCGCAAAATGTACTTTTGCATAAATACATTGAGGATTACACTACATAAATATAACAGGTTACACTGTAATCAGAATGTGCACATTAAACTCAAAACAAATATTATTTGACACACATTAAAGGAACACCATGAAAAATGATTTAAGGTTGCAACCCATTATACATC